AGGTTTAACCAACTTTGTCATTCATTCAGTGGTACACCAATGCATTGGCTCCCGATAGTTGCACCAACACAAGCTTGTTCGCTTCCAAATAAGCTGAAACGGCTGGTGCTAGCAAAATAAAAGAAAGACAGGACAGTTAAAAGGAACATGTTTTACAGATCCATTTCTACATAGGAAACAGAATTTCATCAAACTTTTATGGACTTATTCGCCTGACAATAATGATCGATTCCAATATGTACTTCTGCAATCCACTGAACGGTCATACAGAGCACATTGCAAATGGAACGGAGTAATCCACGTTCTGAGTTTAGAACCTACTAAAATTTATTACCCAACCACATTTCGAGATACATTTGATTAATGAAGTGCATTTGTGACTAAACTTCAGTAACAGAACACTGCTTTCATCAGGTGGTATTATTGATGCTGGGGACGCCAACGGTCAACAGATGCAAAAACAATGTCGCTGACATCAACCTTTTATAATGTTCAAAATGTGAAAAGTTCTGTAGCCTCGGTGGGATTCTAACCCACGCATGGACGCCAAGTAAGAATTTTTACAGCGCACATTCTCCCATCTGAGATACGAGGCAACTAAACCCAACAGCTTAGCTCATCAATAAGTTGTGTGTTACGTAATGGCGCTTATACATCGATGCTGAAGGCAGACTTCTGTTTGAAGAACTTAACTTTTGAGAAGATGATCCCTAAGCTAAACTATTGATACTTTAGATAAACTTGGGGTCGCAGGCGAGGAAAGCCCCATAGTCAAGATGGTCAGCTGTTCAGTGATGAGAACCGGTAGCCTAAGCCCCAAGACTTGGAGTGGCGAACCACAAAGGGCCCCAATAGGTTAGGTGTGGTATTGGACCGGATGACAGCAAAGCTGCCTACCACGCTCGTTCGCGTGCAGTCACTCTCCTCGTAAATAGATTGAAGAACTTATGCGTATTCACAAATTAACCCCCTGAATTTCTGAACCAAAAATCTGAGAAGCCCATCGGCAAACTGATGTGGGACCGGGCGTGTGATATTTTAAGGTCAAAAATTACAGTTCGTGATAACTATTTAACGTTTCATCATAACCAATCGCTGAATAAGAGGGCTCATCTCACACGATCACATTCTCACTCGAAGGTAAACCAAATGACATCAAGCTACCGTTGTGAGAGTCGCAAATCTAAGGTGATTTGGAAGCTTCACTAATCACATTCCACCACAAGCCACGTTTGCGGTCATTTCCTCCAAGTTTGTATGAAACTTATTGGTTCGCCGACTGATTACTATCCCGGCGCATCAGAAAACCTCTATAAAGCCTCCGATACGATTTATTGCGTTGACTATCCCAAACCCAATTCCACTTCATTCGAACCTAAGCTACAATGAGAAGATACACGTTCTGTGTACTTTTTTGTGCACAATACCCTTAAGAATGGGATTGTATTCAGCATCACCTCTAACAATTGTTGCATGTGCTTTATATTTAAGAACTACTCGCTGTTTTTCTTTGCAACAATCCTCCCGCAGCTTTGCCAGTTGTTTAAACAACCATGTACCTGTATTAGGCATTATTTTTTGTGAGAATTTTACTAGATCGTTCCTTTTGAGAATATACCATTTATGTTTCTTGTTACAACAGTAAGCCACTTTTTGGCAGAAACGCTATAGTCAATTTAAAAGTGTCTCCCTGTTTGAACCGTATGTGCTCCTTCACAAATGAAACACCCGATTACAATTCCTCACCCACAAATTTGTTTTATAATTAAATTGATCGCATTCCTAGGGTAAAACATCACTTTTCTTCCTATATCTCATTCACGACCAGTTTCTTTTTCCAAACGATAAGGTGTTTCCGAGGCGCTTACAGACATGATTCACGAGGGTTTGACTGAACCTGGGCAATGTTCCGAATGGGTGCACCCCGTTGTTGCGGTGTTGAAGAGAAATGGCATAAGCTGATTATATGCTAATCTGAAGAAGACATCAGCTCTGATGGACTTACGAGAATATATCGCATATATGAACGATATTTACGCTTTCGGTTTCCCAGCAGAATACCATAACTAAAGTTTAGTTACTCTGCTTTTGCTCCAAGATCATTGGCCGGCTTTAGGTGTTATGAAAATGAACACCAGCCACTGCGCATGAAATATCGGTGCCCCTAATGATTCTTATAAGATGAAAACTCCAATAGTTTTGTGCATCATCTTTAGTTTTCTTCATTGCTAGTAAGTATTGTTTAGATACAATCCAATAAATTTCGTTCTGTGTAACACTGCATTATCGAGATCCAGTTGCAAGTACACAAATTGATTACGCTCTTTTACAGCATGGTGTTGGTGATCCTCCTTAAATTAATTCAGCCGTTATTAGTATGATTGAAGAGATCTGCCGTTGGTGCGATAACATGCAGGAACTTCATAAAATTGCTCATTCAGGACGGGGCGTGTAATCGTTGTATGAATGGGGATATGAGCAATGATGAAGGTATTCACAAAAATGTAAGCGAACACCATACGTGTCTACTTGTGAGTAGTTGCAATGCAATGGTAAAAACATTCCAGTGTAGGTTAAAGTAAATTGCCTGTCTGGCTTAAAAATGTTAATGAAATATCGTAACTGTACATATCGAATTACAATCCAAACAACTACTATAAATAAGAAGTGTAAGTTAAAAAAATATATTCTGTTCAGATTCACAGAATTTTATATTTTCAAACCACACACTAATCACCAGACCCTAAATGCCCCTGTGAAAAAGGCAAGTTAACCGTCATGGCTAAACCACAATAATTTCTTTTAACACTGTCTAACTGTGTCCTATTTTCAATACCTTTTTCATTTCAAGTGAGACCAACTAGTCATATCCTACTGAGAGACCTAGAAAGTTACTGAGGCTTCAGCCGTCAAACGTCACCGGTACGTTATCAATTTTTTGCTGCTTAGGCATTGGCAGAGAATCGCCATCGAAAATCAGCTATGGAGTAAGGTACCATCCTAAACAGAAAACGTTTATCAAATGTTGAAATTGTGCTAACACTCAACTTGTCTAAGATAGCGACGCCATTGTTCTAAGTGGGTCCGGAAATCGAATACCATATTAAAACAACGAATGTGTCTTAAGTACGGACTCCAGTACCCAGTGATAACGCATAAATCTACTTGGCTTTTTCCCAACCGGCTGATCTCACATCGGACGGCATTGTTGACTAGGTTAGAGATAAATTTCCGTAAAATAAAACACAACGAACAAATATTTTATTTATTCTATTAAAGGTGTACCGTTTATCCGTCTCTTCTCTTGTATTGCAGAATGATGACGATAGTTTTCGTCCAATGTCAGAACAAAGCGCGGCAGAAAACTTTCGCACTGTGAGAGAATACTCTGTTCTAGTTGCTCCACTGTGATCGTTTATCAGAAATAAGACATTGGATTCAGATATCCCTGCAAAAAGAAAATTCAGGGGAAAAGATCACGTGACTATGGAAGCCATTCTTATTCCTCGACCCTTAAATCTATCATTAAAATCCAAATAGAGGTAATTTATCAACATCGAAAGCATTGTGTGGCAATGCGCCGCCATGCTAGACACCAAATGGAGTGCATACTTCCGTGTCTTTGAGGTTTCACATTACCTCGTAATATTTGCAGATATGAATCGCATTAAACACCGCATTCAGTTAAATTATTCTCATCTTTAGGGTTTCCGTTGAACAAAAAATGGCCAATAATCTTCCCGTGAATTACACCAACCTTTGTGAAAGTGAAATGATTTCGAGATAAACAAATTGAAGTATACTAGAAGTTCACAGGACCGGAGACGCAGGGGAAAAATCAATTGGTTGGGCCACAAAACGATTCAGTAATGGTTTCCTACCGACGCTCAAGCAGAATACGATTTATAACTTGTCTCATTGTACGGGTTTGACAACCACAGAATGGGTTGGGTTTGTTTCATCGATCAGTCGAATGACTCAGCTGCAAAGAGGATTGTGGTATTTGCCACGGCCAATCCATCATCACATGGGTAGATAACTCATGATAACAGAAACATCACAAACATTACGAAACGGTGAACAGAATGTCTCATGTCAGGCTGACGATTCACAAGTTTCCCAAATCAAGAAAATGGATCCAATAAGATTGCCGAGGATGTCTGTAGGAATTTAGTTGTTTTAGCTGAAGGATGATAGATAACAGAGTATGTGGAACGATGTTGTTTGAATAAATCTGGAGTTAGTGATACATTTAAACTGATGTATTTGCTAAGATTTGTGTGAAGAGTTAAGATGGGTTCAGTGGTATCCTGACAGAACGTTTCTTAAAAAAAATGCAATGAAATTATTAACTGCATAGTGTGACGTATGCGTTTATTGGATTTACGTATTACTTTGAAATCAACAACAAGAGGATTGAGAAAGACAGCTGAGGATTCATCAAGCCAACGAGAAAGGATACGAGGGAAAACAAAACGTTTCATTGAATCGATTGGATAATATATCAATTCAAAACGGATAAAGCCAGAACAAAATCTCATGACTTTGTGATACGTTTCGCGGACCATTAGGAGATGAAAAAGATTATGAGAAA